TATAGACAACGAGAATCTGCCATATCTTCAGGTACAATCAGTCATAAAAAAGCATGGAATGAAATTGCGGCAAACATGCACACCAAGGGATATAATGTCTCTGGTAAACAATGCATGACGAGAATTAATACAATGAAACGTACATATAAGACAATTAAAGACCATAACGCAAAATCCGGTAATAATACGCGCAGATGGAAATATTATGAGGTAAGTACTATTTTAGTTGACATAACATTATGTAACTTTTTCCCTCTTACACTCTCACAATTAATATTATACAATATTAATTGCTTAGATTATGGAAAACCTTCTTAAAGAAAAACCTTATATGGCACCATTGGCAACTATTTCGTCAACTGGATGTGTAACATTAAAGGAAAGATCAATATCTCCAAGCAATAGTAGTTGCAGTTCTACTTATTCATCCAATATAATTTCTCGTAAATAATTGTTAGTCATTACTAGTTGAATTAGACACTAAGATAAAAAATATTTCTATTTTTAGGTAAACGTAAAGCTACAGATAATTATGCTATTGAAATATTAGAAGAAAAACGAAAAGCTGAAGAAAATAAAAAGAAAAGACATCAAGAAAAAATGGAAATGGGAACAAAACTGTTACACAGACTGGATAAACTTATAGACAAGATATAAACAGACACACTGATTGATCTCAACGTTATATAAGTAGTTTTCACATTCAACAATCTTGATATTTTTCTTTTTTTTGTGATATTCGCTTTTAAGATCTCAACGTGAAGGAAAATACTTATTTTTCAAATCAGATAATTTGGCGACAGTTTGGACTGATCTGTTTTATTTTATTTCTCTACTGTTAGATGAGAAGCTATTGTTTATATCCCGTTCTTTCGATATAGTACATGTCATACACACATATGCTTTATATACCAAAGATTATTTATAGAGGTAGATATAACTATTTTATTATTATTTAGAAAACCGAAATGTTTCAGTTTAATTTCTTGATGTTTGGATCTGCATTTGAATTTGCAAACACTTAGTCTGTAGTAGAGAATGCAATATTAATTTTAAAATGTTTACCTTTATGGCAAATTAAACAGTATTATAAGTATTATAAAGGAGAATAAGTGTATTGTAAGAATTTGTGTTTGAAAATATATTTTATCGAAGACAGAGTATATAAAATGTGTTAATAGACGCAAATTATATTTATACATGGTGGATGCTAAAAAATATTAACATTAGTTAAGCAAACCAAAAAGATTCTCTTGATGTAAAGAAATTTCAGTAAGAGTTCAGTAACGAAGAGAATCAATCTCTGACACAAGTGACAAATTTTTATATGAAAAAATATTTACCGTAATAAATTCCTTTCTTAAATTTAGAATATAATTCCTTGTATCTATATTATACTTAATTATCTATATAGTGTATTAAAAATTAAATATCTAAAAATTAGTTATCACAACCAATTTATTGCGTATATTGATAAATATTAACTATTTATCATTCTTAGAAAATTGGTAGAAATAAGCATTATACATTTCTCATTCGTAATCTTTCAGCTATCAAATCTCGTTTTGCAATACCTATTTCAGCATCCCGTACATTTTCGTTGATCATATGGTCTATCTCCTGTACGTCCTCATTCATTTCTAAATCGAGATCATCACTTCTCATCAAACACAAATTGTGTAGTACACAGCATGCAAGAATATGCATCGGAATCAAATTTACTCTAGTCATTGCAAGTACTGTAAGAAGACTTCGGAAACGTTGTTTTAATAGTGCAAACGCTCTTTCAATAAATATTCTTGTAGAAGAGTGAAGAAAATTATAATTTCTTTGACGTTCCGTCAGGTGGCCATTGTCTCTATATGGCACCAACAAATTTTCATGCAGTTTATAAGCTTGATCCCCAACTAAATGGCACTCGTCTGGAAATTTTGACACATCTCCAAGGTAGGATTGTACTTCAGACAGACGAAATATTCGTTGATTATGTACAGATCCTACATGTCCAACCAAACAATGAGTAAATTTACATGTATGATCACATATAGCCTGCAAAAGAAGACAATACAGATTAAATGAAATTGCACAGAAAGCATTAACATTAGAACGCCTGATAAAAGTATTTCAATTTCTTTAATCTTCTTCTATATTATAATATATTTCTATTTTTCGCTGTTAAGAAAAACAATGTTTTGTAAAACTGTGAAACAAGAAGACTGTAAGAAATTTAAATAATTTTATTAAATATTATAGTGTTAGAATATAAAAGTATATTACCTGAAGCTGAATTGAGTGGTGACCTTTGCGGTTAACATATGCTTCTGGATTATGTTTGGGAGCTGGAATATTAATATGAGTGCCATCAATAGCACCGACGACTTTTGGGAATCCACTGGCAGCTTCAAATCCTGCCCACACTTGCTGAACTCGTTCATCTTTAGGCCACTTTATTACACTTGGCGCCAGTTCATTAATTGCACTTATAACACGTCTTGTAATATATAATGCGGTACTTCTACCGACATTAAATCTATCAGAAATCGACCTAAGCATTAAAAAATGAGGATATATAAACATTGTTTTTTAGTTAATGGCGTAAATCAACGAAAGCATCATTCTGTTTTTGTTGTCTACTTGTCAGACAAAGATAGATTGATGCTTGTGTCGATTGATAGTCTGCATAAAGCGGCGTTTACAACGAGATTTTAAGGTGTGAAACTTAAGCTTTAAGCCTTAAGTTGTAAGAAATTGACCAATTACAATCGAATGTGAGGAGAACAACAATTGGTCAATTTCTTATGGCTTAAAGCTTAAAACTTAAGTTTTATACCTTAAAATGTCATTATAGACGCCGCCTTATGCAGACAATACTATCAATCGACACAAGCATCAATCTAAGACAGAGCTAGGATTTAGTTGCACATTTCGACTGATTTTCAGCTTGGTTCCTGCCCCTTACTTCATTATGTCGATCGGCATTTAGGCTGCGCGTGGGTTGATGAAGTAAGGGGCAAGAACCAAGTTGAAAATCGGCTAATGTGCAACTAAATCCCAGCTCTGATCAAAGATATAAGTGGCGCGCCGCTTTTAATAGAAGTCTGTTTAGTGCTTATTTATTACCTTAAAGAATCCGGGGTAGCAAGTCTCCATAATGCTAATAAAAGTTGCTTTTTTGAAGAAATTGTAGGTGTTCCTCCTGCTTCTCTTTGTAGTTTAGGCTCAATAATAGATAAAATATACTCGAATGTTTCAGGAAGCATCCTAAATGATACATTAATCACTTTTTATTATAGTTATATATTGCATTTTCTATTCAAATCAAGTGAACTATTTTTTGACCATAATAATTTTAACACAAATATTTTTAGAAAGATATTATTTATATAAATATACCTAAAATGAGCCTTAAAGTCTTGATCTGTCAACGCTGGCACTATTATTTCAACGTAATTATGTACTCTGGATATTTTTCTTCTTTTATTACACATATCAATATTACCCAATACTTCATCAATATCGCTGTCAGTTGATGACACATCTTCCAAATATTCTCGTATCTCTAATGCCAATATTATTACTAAATCTCTTCTTGCCTGCAACTCCATTACAAATTGAAGCATAAAACCAGTATTGAAACTCTAGGTTTTTTGTTTTGCTTTTTGCATTATTTAGCGCTAAAAGCTATTCACGGAGCTGTAGATAACAAAATGATCATGACCACAACAATTTCATATGAGGTCCAGGATTATTATAATCCAGTTTTCTCATAATATTTTTATCCTTGAAAAGTTAAAGATGATACACAAGCAAGAATTATTTCACTCCGGCCTAGTAGCAAGCCATCAATTGTAGAGACTGAAATTGAGATTGGTTGATGATGATGATGATGATTAGAGGTTTCACTTTTGTTCTACTACAATCTTAGGTTGATGTCCCCAGAATCACCTTCTCTCGCGGCTACGAGGGTCGGGATTCTCGCACTAACTTCGTCCAACGTAGGTACTTCGTACAAATCGTTACAGTAATTCTCAATTGTCCCAGGTCGACGATTATAACCTTAATTACCAGCATAGGAAATTTCGGAGGTTAGTTTCCAATCTTATTGACGATTTTGTTCAACTAGAAGCGAAAATCAACTAAATAAAATCGAAGCACTTGACACATATAACGGAATAATCGTCTTTAAACGAATCGGTATCTGTCGGTTACGAGCGGTTACGCATCACATTTGCAAATACAGTCGAGTTGGCTCATGTCATCCGTGTGCTACGCATTTTCGATGGTAAAAGAGAAACGGCGTCACATCCAAGTTTGAATTACATCACATTGACCGAATCCTCAAAAAGATTTTTAATGTAAATAATTATAACTGATGCCTGATTTATGCTTCGATCTCAATCCTAAAATCCTAAAATTCAGCCAATGGAATATAGATTTTAGTTAGGACCAATTAAGACTGGCAGCCCTATTGATTGAATTTTAGGATTTTAGAATTAAGATCGAAGCATAAACCAATTATGAATTATTTTATGTTTAAGTACGTACAATAGTGATCATGGAAGTTTTCCCAATCCTCCATATTAAACGCTATTAACGCTACGCAGGGTCGTTCATGGAGCTTGCTAACGCTATCGCGCTATTGGCTCCACGAACAGCGTTGGTAGCGTTTGCGTTCATAGCGCGAATAGTGTCTCCCCGAACACACCCGGTGTGTGCAATTCAGCAAACCACGCGACCACGCCTACTTTTCGTCTGCGCCTTAAAGCGGGTACCCAATGTACCAACTATGAAACGCGAAACATGGGACGGTATTCATAGTCCGTTTTTATTTTAAAACTATCTTAGGCCGGAATCAGACTTCGCATTGAAGATTGGCTGCGTTCAGCAGACTCAACAGTTTTGCAACCGTTTTATGATTGTCTGCTGAGATAGGACCATTCTTCTAGATCTAAAAGTATGATCCAATTAGCGCGAAGGAAACTTACAACAGTTGCAAAACAAACGTTCTGCTGAACGCACCCATTGTGGTTGAAGATTGAAGATTGAAATTGGACCAATAAGGACAAAGAAATTTTAACTCCTTTCGTTTCGATTGGTCAAATTTGAATTTTTCGATCTTCAATCTCAATCTTCAATGCGTAGTCTGATTTCGGTCTGAAATATAATGTTTTAAGATGTTAATACAGTCCTCGAATTGACTTAGGCCGGAATCAGACTATGCATTGAAGATTGAGATTG